CCCAGCAAGCCAATTTCTGCCTTCACTGATAACTTTGGTACCTGGTTCTTGATGCAACTTAGTCAGTTACGGTCATCCTTCTCTGTGATTGGCTATTCATCTTCAAGTTTGATCTAAATCCCTTGTACTCACTCATTGAATTCCTTGCTTCACTGAAAAACCTTTGTTTCCCCCACAAATCACTTATAAACAGTCTGTAACTAGGATATGATCACAAGCCCCTGATCTACTTCTGCAATCTTGAACAAGACCTTTCCCTTCTCTAGCAACTATATCCTTACCTTTCAGTTTTAACAGGACTTCAATCCACTACTTCTGAAAAGTTTTACTTAAGGGAAAATGTTCAGTCATTATCCTACTGTGGGGACACCACTGTTACTTTTGTCTCCTTTATGCTTTTCTACTCACTGTTTTTGTGTAGGTAGACCATATCCTTACCAGGAATTTTTTTTTTTTTACTTTTTGGCTTTTAAATACGTCATTTAATAATCTTAAAATTAAATTGCTGCTGAACACCAACTTTACCAGTGCCTTTTCATTTATACATCTGGATTGTTTTCTAATTGTATGTACAAGAATTCTTCGAGCTTGAAGATTTGTTCTCTCTATTCTGCCTCCCCATACTGTCTTGAAGATTCCATGAGCTATTAGGTCAAACAGTATCAGCATTTTGGTGGCTTTGCCGCATGTTAACAAAATTGTTTCCAAAAAAGTTACACAAAATCACAGGCAGAGAGTGAGTTTTTGCCACACTCTGTATTTTTATTTTTTCATTTTGCTAAATGAGAAGATAAAACTTAATTTTTTCTGCTGTGAAGATTTTATTACTAGTGATGTTGACTTTTTTCCTGTTATATTTCTTCTCTGAATTTACTTTATACATTTATTCTTCAGGCTTTAGGAGTTTTTCTCAAGATTCCTACATATTAAAAAATAATCTCAACATCCACTGTAGAAATTTCCCTCTCTGTGTTCACCCCTGTGTTTGGGGTGTATGATAAATGTTTTGCAAACTTGAAGTCTCAAATTTTTATGTAATCAAGCCTAACAGTCAAATTACATAGGATTTTTGGTCCATTCTAATAATGTAAGTCTTTCCTATCAGATTTGATAAATAAGTTGAGTGTTGGGATGGTATTGGTTCCTTGGTTTTTCTCTTTTTTGCCCTGTTTAATTCATGTTGAATCATTTTAGTTCTGAGTGTAAACTTTTTTTTTGAGTTGTTAACCATTGGCTAATGCTATTGATTTGGATATTCTCTCCCTTTCCTGGTGTATTGCAGTGTCTCATCCTTGCTTATTATTTATTAAGGCCTTCTACATTTTTGGTATTTGCAAATTTAACATTTACAGTTTAGCTGTTCTCAGCTGACCCCAAGGTCTGTGATTCAGTAATATGTATTTTTGCGGAGACTGAAACTGTTGCTTGCTGCCAGACTTGCAAATAGGAACCGAACAGCCCATGTAGCTCAAAGAGGGAGCCTATTAGACAGGCCAGCACCCGCATCTCAACGCAGCTTTGTTTTTCTCTGCTTGTCATCGCGTACACAGTAACTCTCGAAGTGATAAAAGCTGTTTCTTTGTGAAATATGGGCCCGAAAAGAAAACCAACTTGCTAGTGCTGGTGATGGAAATGAAGAGAAAATGAAGAGGTCTTAAGAAAGTGATGGTTCTTAGCCAGAAAATAGACGTTTTGGATAAATTAAAGTGGTTTTGCAGATTCAGGTAAGTTTGTGGTTGGATAATGTTGCTACAGTATTGCTGTAGTAGTTTATATATTTTGAATGCCAAAATTATTTTTTATAACTTTGTAAAATCACTAGTAACGTACTTTTTAAGAAGCACTAAGAATTTACAGATGTCAGCTGTACTTCATTTAATTTTAGAAGGAAAATTAAATGCTTAAGTGTTTGAAAACTTAGTAACTTAGGGGAATCATGTTGTTCCTGCAGTACATGTTTACAATGAAGCTGAATTATCCTGTTCCCATAATATATCTGTCCTTGTGTCACTGCAGCACTTTTAATTGTTTTGTGTTTTTGTTGTACCCCAAAACCCATTCCCCTGGCCTCTATTATTGGCCATTTCTCCTCCCCCAAAAATTATTCTGTGTTTATCATCCCACATAAAACAACAATATGGTGTTTTCAAATTAAAAAGATCTTGATGGTATTTTGTTTGAGATTGTGTTTGAAATATTTATATTTTCCCTTTGGGGAACTGTCTATTCAGATGTTACCTAAAACAGCCCCCAAAAGAGTTCCACATATTTTTAATGAACTTTTAGCAAATATTTTGAACATTTATATGCAGTGGGATTTATATTAGATCTTGGATAAGGAGAACACTATAGCTATAGTAATTTCTCAGGGAACTCAGTCTAAGAGAATCGAAAGATAATATGAACTCTTGATAAAAAGTGAGGCATGTTATTATACAAGGAACTCTGGGAGCACAGAGGTAGGACAAGCTATTAAATAGGGTGTGATTAATGATGGTTTCTAAGAGGAGTTGAAGAGTGAACTATCTTGTTCTTTGTTAATATGATTGGAATCCATTCTTCTCCGAGCTTAACACTGAAGACCTGGTTATTGCCAGGGTATTGTAAGGCTGGTGATGTGTTCCAGCCAATCTAAAGAACTCATTATCTTCTTTATTTGAACTGCTGCCTCTGGATTTTCATGTCAGTCTTGCCTCTTACAAATAATACCTCTTTTCAATAATTTAATGCTTTTATAATTACAAGGATATCTGAAATGATATTAAATAATGGTTATAGTCAACATTCTTGTTTGGTTTGTAGATTTAAAGAGACTGCCTAAGAGCAAAAAATAAATAATTGCTGTTTATTAACCTAAATGCTGATTTCAGGCTTAAAGGTAGAATGGACACCTTAAAATTCTAAGGAAAAATCTTGCATGCATATTAGGAAAGAATATAGACTCAAATGCCCTTTTGTAATTTATTTTAAAAATAAATGATTTTTCTTCTTTATTCTACTGGTGTATTGCATTTCTGGTAAAACTCTACTTGGCCATGGACTGTTCTTTTAGTGTGTTTGTTGGACTTCATCTGTATTTCATTTGTCATTTTCGTACTTCATTTATAAAAAATATTGGTGGCCCTTTTGTGGTATCTTTAACTGGTTTGAGAATCATGTTAAATTTCTCTTAAAGTCAGCATAACTATTAGTTACTTTCCTGAGCCAAGAGTTGATTTTACAAAGTGTGAATAAGTATTTTTTCTACCAGTGTACTTTGGTCATAGAGAAAACAGTCTGAGTGCAAATTCTGAAATTTTTTTCAAGTTGCATCAAACTGTACTTGAGAAAAGGCTTATATTTTGTGATCCATTCTTTACCTTTTTCCCTTTTACTGAAAAATAAGTATTATCAAATAGGCTTAATTTTAAATATTAAAAATGTTTGAGTCTATAAGAAAGCCTTTTCTGACAGTGAAAAGGTGACATAGTGCTGTCTCAGTGTCCTTTGCCATAAATACAGGATTTTAGAAATGGATATTTCTGTTAATTTTGTACAGTAAAAGAAGTTTGATGAATTCGTATTTTAAGTATGACTAGCCATCTGGGAATTCACATAACAGTTCATTAGAATCTAGTTCTAGACATTTCCAATTATGATGTTTACAGAATTGAGATTATAGTTGCTAGTACTGAAACAAGAAACCAGTTGATCTAATAAAAATTGCATGAGAAAGAAATTTATCTGCTATAAAAAAGATAGAATATCTAATTAAACTTGGCATATTCTCCACATTTTATATTAACTAGTGAATCTCTTAAGGAAAATTAACATCACTAGAAAAACTGCTGCCATTTACAGAAATGGATCATAATTCTCTTGTATGGTAGGACAGACTTTTAGAAAACTTTACAACTGAATTCCATGCCAATTGGGAGGAGTTTAATACCACACCTTTAGCTGAAAGGAAAAAGGAGGAGCATGCTGACTTGCCGTTAACTATAGAGCAGCAGGATCTTACCTTCCAAAGTTAATGAAGGAAAGGAACTCAAGGGTGTAGTTGTGTTGGCCAGCATGCTGCTAAAAATGGCCGTGTGTAAGTTTTGTTCATAAGTATCTTAAATGCAGGTGGCCACACACAGAAACTTACTCTAGCAGTTGATGTTTTAAAGGTTAATAAACATGATTACAACTTATATTTTATAAGATGATTTCTTATTTTTCACTGCTATCCATTATGGTGTCTTTCCTGATATTTATTCCTAGGGCCAAGAGAATTATAACAGACATTTTACTTCATATTGTTCTTACAAAGTAATTCAGAAAGTAAGTGATACAGTAGTTCTTTGCAAGATTTGACAGCAGTCTTCTTAATTTTAAAAGTAAAATAGCATTGTAAGGTGGTATTTTCTTGTTACAGTTAAAATCTCTGAAGAACAGATGAAAACACAAATCCAAAAAGGCCTTATGGCATGGGATAAAGAGCTAGGAGTTAATATTGAATCTATAGCAAGTTAAGTCGAGGTTGAGTGATAATGATTACAAAAATTAAAGTGCTATAATGTGTTGAAGGTAAAATGCAACCAAAAAATACTAATTTGGTACTAATGGACTGGGACTAAATTCCCAGAGTATGCCAGTACACCTAGGAGACTGGAGCAGCGGGGGTGTGGTTAGCAATGTAGATGGTAGCGTTACAGGTATGTTGATGCCCACCCAGCATTTTTCAAGAATATACATATGCTTCTTTTAATTTAATTTTAAAATTTACAGTTTGTAAAACAATTTAAGAAATTTAGCTTAATATTACAGTAAGCTTTTCAAGAATGTAGAAAATAAATCTGATTTTACTATGAAGATCTTGATATAAGCATATATATCTATCTAGCTTTGAGGTACAGGTCTTGAAAGTATTTAAAGCTACTATTAAGCCAATATATCAGGTTTCCAGGTGTTTTTTATATTATGAAAATGTTAGGGGGAAAATAATAAACTTAACTACAGACATTTTCTTCTTTCAGCTGCTTTTCTAACCCAAACTGTGTGTCTTGATGACACAACAGTAAAATTTGAAATTTGGGATACAGCTGGTCAAGAACGATACCATAGCCTAGCCCCAATGTACTACAGAGGAGCACAAGCAGCCATAGTTGTATATGATATCACAAACGAGGTAAGTAGATGTGCGTGTTAGAGTGAAACTACTTGGAATATCCCAGTTTTGGCATTCAGAATTTTGATTAGTGAAAATAATTGTTTAAATCATTTTTGATAACCGAGCAAGATATTTCTGCCAAAATTATGAGTTAGAAAAGCTGATTTAAAAAAGATGAGAGTGTCTCAAATAATACAGTAGCCCTAAGAATTATTTCCTAGAGTTACACTGGACAGTCTTTAAAGCCTTGTTTCACAAAGATGCTGCCTAACCATTTTTTCAGCCTGTGCCAAATAGCTGTTTCTTTGTTTCCCAGGAGTCTTTTGCCAGAGCCAAAAATTGGGTTAAAGAACTTCAGAGGCAAGCCAGTCCTAACATTGTAATAGCTTTATCAGGAAACAAGGCTGACCTTGCAAATAAAAGAGCTGTTGATTTCCAGGTATGTTTGAAGGCACATATTTACTGTATGATTCCGTCTGTATCCATACTTAAATTATAGTTTCAACTTTAAAGCCATTCAAATACTAGAAAACACAGATTTTTTACACAAATGTGGTAATAGTATATGTAATGCTTCTCATGATAAACCTGAATTTTGAAACCTCTTTATTTAATGGTAATACATATATTGATAACAAAGATTTTGCTGACCTAAACAAAAGAAGTAACTGTTCACAAATAGAGCAGAAATCATAAAGCAAGAGGTGATTGCCTCCTATCCTAATCCCTCCATCCCTACACATACTTTAGTATCCTTCCTAACCTTTCTCTATTTATCTCCTGTATGTATAGTATATATAGTAACAGACATTCATGTACCCACATAAACACATACACGTAGACTCATGTTTTTAAAAGGGCCTTCAGATATAAAGGCTCAAAAAAAATCTAGTTTGTATGTTATTTAATATTCAACACATTTAAGATGTTCCCTACTGTAAAATAGAGGAAATAGTCATCTAAAACAAAGCAGTGTCTCTTTGCTTTTAAACACATTTTCTAACTTGCCCTGTTCTTTGACTCTCAGCTTTTTACCCTCTAAAGGAGTTTGGTTGTGGCCATTATATATATAATATCATTGATGGGATGACATTCTTTTTTGTTGATGGCCATAGGTGGAGTTCATGCACCTAGAGAAAATAAACTAGCGCTTCTTGCAACATTCAGTAGTAAACTGATCATGTTGCACATGTGGTTTCCTTTAATTCCAGTGACAGCCATGTGGTATAATACCATCTAGTACTCTTTCTAAGGTAGTTACCTGCCCAACATAAAGTGCTAAATAGAGCGTTTAAATTGTAGTCAAAACTGGCCCTGTCACATAACACTTCAAAGGAAACTCAGTTTTTTCCTTTGTCAGTGGAAAAGGTAATTGCTTGATCTTCACAGCAGTCGTGAGGCTCAAAGGCAATAATACATGTAAACTGTAAGGCCTGACAAAAATATAAAGTGTAGTAATAATAATTTTCAAAGGAGTGAGTGATGATGTACTCAGAATTTAAATGTTGCTTGTAGAGGTCATTCAGAATTAAATATGAGAATGCCTCCTCATGGTTAAAGCCAGTCTTATATATTTGGTTTCTCTTTGTTTTCATTGCAAATAATGAGCGTAAGTAAAATTTGCCATGGAGACCAGGGAGTTTTCTATTTAGAATAGGATAATTTCCCCCACCCTGAAACTTATCCTTTGAAAGTAGATTTAATGTGAGACCAGATGAATCAGGATGAGATAGTGCAAGAAGTTAAGGCAAAAACAAATTTATAAATGTATCCTAACCAATGCTGTTACCTCTGTTTTAACTTTGGTAATAATTGCTTCCTATGCAGTTTTTGGTTACAGGTAATCTAGTTAATAGTAGAATAAGGAAGCCTCTTTTTTCCCTATAACAAAAATAAGGCAGGGTGTAGTATGTGCAAGGGATATATCATTTTGCTGTTCTCTCAACAGGAAGCACAGTCCTATGCAGATGACAACAGTTTATTATTCATGGAGACATCAGCTAAGACGTCAATGAATGTAAATGAAATATTCATGGCAATAGGTAAGGTTAACTTTTTTTCAAACAGTAAGTGTAGCCAAAACAAGTTATACTGGGTGGGGCATATTTGGTTTCACTGATTTCAAAAATTTTTGGATTTTCTTTTTAATAAATAAATTTCTATTCTTTGTCCCTTCCACCAAGCAAAACTTTGTTATATATTGTTAAATTTGAAAGATTATTACCTATTAGGTCATAATATTTTCAGCTTAGTTAAGTTTCTTCTGGATGAGTTCAAAGCCTGGACATTGAGCTGATAGTTCAAGCAGATTGATTTTCTTAAGATTTCACTAAGAAATTTGGACAAATACATGTTTTTCTATTAGATTGTGCTTTTTATATAAAAGGCAGATACACTCAGCAGTATTTATTAGTGCAATATGTAGGCATAGTGAGATTTCTTTCTCACTGATCAGTGTTTCCATCTTCCTTGCTCTGAACAGAGCACTATTTTTGTCTCTTACAAGTTCTTTTTAAATGTTGACTACTGACAAATGTAAGAAAAGTACATGGTATATAAGTATACAAGCTGACAGGTTATTTTAATGCAGATACTGTAATGGAGAAATTATCCATTTCAAAGCACTGAGGTACAGAGAGAGAGCACTCAGGGCAGGCGAAACAGGCCGTGCCGTACCATATCCCAGTGGCCGGCCGGCCTGTGCAGCTTTGGGGACCTTTACTCAGTGATGACTGTGTTCCAGTGTCGCTGATTATAGCAAATGAAGTTGAAGTAATAAGAAAGTTTCCTGTTTTCTGTACCCAAAACAAAAGTCACTCTTTACCCTAAACTCCCAGTCTTTTTAAGGTATAGATTCTGTGGGAAGGGTCTGCTTTGGTGGCTCTCACAGTTTACTACCTCTAATCCATTCACGTGCTAAGCACCCACCTCTCTCCATAACATCTCTTTTTACACTGGAATGGCTGCATTCCTATCCCTGAATAAGAGTATTCTTTCACAGTGGAAGTCATACAAATTAACAGCTGATTTAGATGCCAAAAAGAACTTGGTAAAAGCTGCAAGTACTGTCAGAATATCTGTCACTAGGTGAGAGTATCTAGTGATGGCTTATTTAAGAAAAAATTTGCCTGTTTGTTGTATAATACATTTTCCTGAGAAACTCAAGTGTGCAGTTTATTAGGGAAGCACTAGCACAGTTGTGAAGGATTATGCAACAACTTGCTCTTTTTATAAGTGGAACAGATTACACCCAGGTCTACATTGGAAAAATTAATAACAGGAAACAAGAACATAATAGTTCCCTTAAAACAGGCTGAACTTTAAACCTTTCTAATGCTGTAAAGACTGCACCAGATGGGCTTTATTTAATTTGTACCTTTTATTTAGATGTGCTGATAAGGTCATTTTTCCAGTCAGAAAGTAGCCTATATATTGCAGCTTTCAGTTATTTTTTGAAATTAGAATGTTTCTTTTCTTGAAAGGGATCCCAAATATAAATTGAACTGTGGCCTTTCATTTCTTTTACCAGACTAGTAACTTAAATAAATCACACAGTGCACTCATTTTTTTTTTATTTTTGATGACTTCCCAAAGAGAACAGAGTAGTGCATTCATCACCTGCTTTTAGTTTTAAAGGTTTTGAGTGGCTTCTTTACTGCACATCTTTATTAACTTGTTGCAGAATTTTTACCTTCTCACAATCCTAATCAATTCAAGGGCAAATTGGTAAGCTGCAGTTATCCAGGTACAAAATAGTACCAGCTTCACATTGGTAACACAATGAAAGACAGTAGCATACTTCTTTTGAGACCCTTAAAATGTGTTTTTAGTATATGTTTACACAGTAAAAATTAACCAATAGAAGCTGAAAGTTCTACATTCCAGTTTTATTTCTTTCAGCCTCCTAATTTCATTCAGTGTTCTTACAGAAAGCCCTCTAGAGGTATGCTTAGAGGGAGAAATGAACCTGCATTGATATTAATTATAAAGTTTATAATACTAGCCCAGTGTTTGTTCCTACAGGGCTTTGCTTGTAAATTCATTTGACATTTTATTACCATTTAAACTACCCTAGCGTCATTCCTGGAGAGGTGGATTGACGTGAAGGCTTTTCCCTAATTTCAGTTCTCCTGCCTCCCAGATCCATTGCCCAACCCAGCATCTAGGATTCTAAAGATGATTAGTGCTTACACAAAATATTACATCAAATAAAGGACAGAGGATCCCAAACACAGAGGCGTTCAGATTTTGAAGTAGAGCATGTTCAACTTTAGTGTAACTTGAGCTAACACCAAGGTAAAGCTGGAGTCTGACCTTAATAGTCTTAGTCCCAAGGTTAATAGAGACCAGTGTGTCCAGCCACTCTCAAAGTCAGTACTCAAAGAGGTTTTTACTATTTAATGAATACAGCAGCGCATCAAGGATCTTTGGGATCCAAGCCAGCTACATCTAAAAGGTAAAGTTTTTAATCAGTTGAGAGCCAAGCTCCAAAGACCATCCATTAGCTGTGCAGAGCTTAACAGAGCTAAAGCTGTAACTGTTGGTTGAGGAGCTTCACCCAAATGTGGCAAGCCATGCCCGTGTGACCCAAAAATTGGGAAACTGTTTTTTGAGGTAGAGCTTTCAGGATCAAGCACACTTACATTAGGGGAGAGCTACTGATGAATCTGATTAGACTTCTTACCAGCCATTGGAGAGGATAATGATAGATGTTGGGAGGGTAAAGTCTGTGTATGCCAGAAAGAAAATAGGAGGTGTGATTTATCATGATTTGGGGTAAAAATTAGGTTGTACAGTAGATAACTACTTCTGTTAGGATGATGGTGATGGTATTTGTTTCTATCATCTTGTTCCAAAAAGTATTTGTGGCAGTCCAGGGAATATTGATATGCGTGAGCTGCCACTTTATAAACATATTGGCTGGCCATAATCCTTATTAACTTGGATTTCCTCTAATGGAATATTAATGATTATGAAATAAAGTGTAACTTTTTGGTATTATTAAGCAGATAGATCTAAAGAATTAAATATAGCTCTAGTCAAGTTAAGTTTTAAATGTGTCTGCACCTGCTTCCTGTTTTACACTTCCCACAACCAACTAAACTCCCTGAACACAATGACCAATATTTTGGTATTTAATAGATACTCAATAAACATTTAAAAAGAGTGAGCATGGTTACATGATGCTTTGGGATAATTTAACTGGAGAGAAAGATAAAAGCAATTCACATGCTAATATGAATATTCTAATTGTGTTTATTTTAATAACATCTCTTAGCTAAAAAGTTGCCCAAGAATGAACCCCAGAATCAAGGAGCAAATTCTGCCAGAGGAAGAGGAGTAGACCTTACTGAGCCCACACAGCCCACCAGGAGTCAGTGTTGTAGTAACTAAACCTCCGGTTTGAACTTGCTGGAATATTCTTCTGCTTCATAAATGTTAATAACAGTGAAATTGGAGCATTTAACCAGCCCAATATGACTTCCAAAAAGAAGAGACTTACAGTAGAATCAAGTTTCTAATACAGAATTATTTTAAGTGTTTTGAACTTAATTTTTAATAACATGCATGTGACCCTCTGACTAATGTTTCAGCAGTAGAAGGGGGAGTGAGAGCTGTGTGTTTGTTTCCTTTTTTCCTTGGAAAGTTTAGGGGAATCATTTCTTTTCACCAGGAACAGAGTCAAGTGACTGACTGAACCCACAGCTAACCAGCCAGTTCTATGAAAAAGATTTGAAACTTACTAATTTGGGCTTTTCAAAAACACTGCTTTTTTTTTAGAAGGGTCTAAAGATATTTATGCTTAGCTACAATATTCAGGCAACTGGCAATTTCTCTTAATAGCCATATTTAAAGCATACATTCCACATTTTAACAGATTAGCCACAAGAAAACAGTCCCATATCTTCAGGGGGAAAGAAATGAACATTAGTGGCATCTAAATTATAGCCAGTTCTGTTATTTTTTAAATGAGGTAAAAAAATCAGTGTAACCCCATCTGTTTTAGGACTATGAAAACCAATACCTGCATAGTAAGGATAGTATTCCCTTGAAACATGTGAGCTCTTCAACAAAAATGAAACAAACCAGGAATCTGTGATTTCTGTTTAATCACTGCTGGCCATTACATAGGTTTTGTTTGTGGGCAGGGAGGGGCTTTTGTTCCCTTTGGACATAATATAGTCAGTGCACTAACAATTATGTACATTCAGACTTGATTATTTTAAATTCTGTCATCAACTGTACTGTAAATAGGGTACTGCAATATAGTCTCCATATATGTTTATTACTTTCCGTAATATTTAAGAGTTGCTTAAAAGTATACAAAATGTACAGTTACTAAGACAGCTAATTTTTTTCCTTCTTCCCCCTTTGAAAGGAAGGGGCTTCAGTTGTTCTTACATGGCTAGAATCTAATAAACAATGTACCAGTAATTTGTAACCTAAGTATTGCAGTATGTTAGTAACAACCTCGCAGCCTTGTTTTCACAGGTCATTTTATTTTGAACAGTTCAGTATATTGCACTAATTGTTTTAGGAATTTTCATTATATGAAATCTACCATGTGGCAGAGATGATTTAATCTATTTAAGTGTTGAACTGCTAGCAGAACTTGTACATTTACAGTGATTCAGAATTAGTAAGGAAAACAGTTCACCAGTGTTTAGTTTTATATTGAGGTGCTCAGGTTGGAATAAAGTGGTATAAAAAGCAAGTACTGGTTTCTCTTTCTTTTTTGGAATGAAACAGTGAACATCTATAAATAGTAGTATGTAACCTAAAATCTCTAATATCTTCTTTACTACATTCTTAAAAATGGTTTGTGTGGTACTGATGCATTATCCTAATATCTTTAAATAAAGGCTTTACATTTTTTGTATTCTTGATAATTGGAACTTCACCTTTTATGTCAGAAACTGATACTCACTTCCGCTGAGAAGTATTACCATAACTGAGATGTTGTCTCTGGAGCCGGCCACTAAGGCAGCATTTACAAGTTCACGGCTGATGTGTTCAGCTGCACCCTCATAGAAACTCTTAGCACATGACTCTTTTTCTTTTTTAATTGTATCTTTGGCCACGCCATTCGTTGGTCCATCAGTTTCTTTCTGGCTGTAAGGATCACAGTAAGTCATTTCTGGTACAAATGTTTGTGCATTTTTAGGGTTATAAGTGAAATGTTTAAAATATTTTGAATCAGGCATATTTTCTTTTGTATTTGTAGTTGGCACACATTCTTTAGATTCAGATTTAAACTGAAACAGTATGTGGGTATTACCATCTGATTTACTATTGCTTGGTTTGTTGATTGGAGGAAACAGAGACTTTTTGGATGTTGAAGATTTGTTGTGTATGAGAGAAGAGTACACTTCTTTGTACACTTGAAACATCGTCATTGCCAGTGCAGTGACTTCCTTTTTATCCAGAACTACCCAGAGTCCATTAGTAGCCAAGATAAGGAATTGACATAAGTCATCTATAGGGACAGAAATGGTTTGAGGTGCTGGAATAACAAATTTTTTCAGTTTGAAATTTCCATGAAATCCAAGTCCTCGAGTGGTTTTTATTTGTCCTTCTAGGAGCCCATAAGGTTCATTTGAACTAATTACTGCTCCACCCTGAAGTAGTCTTTGCCTTTCATTTATGTTTCGCATAGTGTGTTCTTTGGTTAGGCAGAAGCCTTTTCCATTTCTACATAAGACTGCTTGCACATTACCTAGGAGATTATTAGAGAAAATTGATTAGTCTAGAGATCTAGTAACTAAATATCAAATTATGCTGTTAACTTTATTATTCTGTGTTTCAGTGCATAAACAAGCCATTTAAAAATATTTTTAATATATGTAACATGTTATTGGATGATTTACAGTAATTCAGATTTCAAGTTGGGAGGCCAGTTTAGCTCTCATTTTTAAGTAGCTGAGTGTTTAAAATACTGCATTTATTATTAACCAAAACTACAAGTAGTGAAAAATAATAAAGCAATTTTTTAATGAAACAGCTTCTGAATATTTATTTCGTGGAGCCAAGACTTGACCTTTTTTAAAACCAACACATTACATACAGCAGGCATTTTTGAAATGTTTAAAAAAAATACCTTTTAAATTAAAAACAAACTTTTAATATTTTAAAGTGGAGTCTGATAATTTCGTAACTAATAAAAGTTAAAACCTGAACATATTTTATGTATGAGCGATGAAAAAAGTTGAATGCCACTAGTAATATCAGTCTCATTTAGGTTCCTGTTGTATATGGTTAAAAAGAAATAAAGTCAGCCCTGTGAAGAAAAAGTAATACGTGTAATGTTAAATGGGTAATAGCTGGACAATATTAAACCCTTTGAAAACTAAAATCTTAACAGTTGTAATTTGTTCATGGTTTAGATGAACCTATGATATGTTTGACATTGACATCTTAAGAAAACCTAAACGTAATACTCTGAACAGATGGAGGGATGGTTGTACTACCAAAACTTACTTTGGTTAATAAAAAAAGATTCATAGCACTTTTTTAGTTTGTTAGGAAAAAAGTATTTTTTGCTAGTTTTAATAGTAACATAATTATATATTCAAGTATAGGCAATAGTTTTTCTGGATACAGAATCATTTATCATTTGTAAAAGGGTATCTAAATTATTCTGAGGTAGAGTTAAAATTTCTGGAATCATGCAAAATGTACATTAGAATATTCTGATTTCAGATATGGGCCTATACAGAATCAGAAGCTGCAGATGTTTGATTCTAATTCCCTAATATTTTAAGTAAAGGAATTTAGATTTTAGAAGGCTGAAGTCCACACAACTAATAAGACTGGACAGGATGTGTGTAAATTGGTGAAGCATTAGTGTTAGGCCTAGACTAAGACTTTTGGCCTATTTACATAAAGGGAATTGTTAATTTCTGAGCTTTTGGCCGAGGCCAAAGGATGATGATATTTGTGGAAATTTTTGAAAACCGGAGAACTGTATCTATGATTGTCCTAAGAACTACATGACTTCTTTCTGCAGTATGGTTATTAAATTTTCTATTAACTTGTCTTTTCTGCTGGTTATCCTTCTTATGCTTTGCAGGTAAATCGGTAAAATAAATGACTTCTGCTGGGTCATAAATTAATGCCATAGCAAAAGCAGCTGGAATGATACTGAGCATGCCAACTGGGTAAACTGAATTGTTCTATTAGGACATATGCTTTGATACCTTTTTAAATTTGAAAATGTCTTTGTGTGTGCATGTCACATACATGAATATACATGAATAGTGCGGTCACAGCTCTGAAAACATAGGGGACATACTTTGACTCAGAATAGCCAAATCCACTGACTTCCTAAATGTTTATTTGCATATGGCAAGCCAAAGCCAATTCAGCAAAAAGAAAAGGCATTGTTTCTCTGCTATGTGATTTGGAAAGAATTTAATGGATTAGGAGTTAACAGTGGAAGGGCAGTACACTTGTATTTTGATTATAGCTGTCTCTGCAGGAGTTAATGAACACAGCTTTATGCACCACTTGCCTTTTTTTTTTTTTTAATTGCTGAGCTAAAGAGTACGAAATGCTATTTTGGCTTATTTTACTGTTGTCAACCAACATACTTGTGCTCAGCACAACAAAATTTTCTAGAAGAAGAGACATTAGGCCCTAGTTGTAGTTTTTGCACTATTGTTGACTTGCTGTCTGACCATAAATTATTTAATTCCTTGGACAGTTAATTCATCCAGATGAAAGGAAACTGCACTTTCCAAAAAACTCATATCCTTACCTGGGTAAGTGAACAGAGAAAGTGAAGGGGAGGTACCTCGTGTTTCTCAACTACTCACACATAACCCAGGAAATAGAGGGTAAGTATGACTGGGGTCCAGAAAGTCTTGATGGAAAGACGAGAAAAATCATATGCAGAATTAGTTTTATTTCATTTCTTGAACCTACGGTTGCATATACTGTCAGCTGCAGATGGAATTGTTGAAAGCAGTTGACTACATTAAGCTGAAGCCTAGAATAGAATAATGAATAAAAAGCCCCAAGTAGGATGGGAAATTGGAGGAGGATTTAAAAATAACACTATGTCCATGAGTATGGAGAACTGAAGGAAGAGAGGAGCAAGTCATGACAATTTAAAAGGGAGAAGAGATTGGCTTTAAAGCAAAGTTTCTGTAACTGGAGGAAAAGAGAATAAGCAGTGAACTGTGTGATGGAAGACCCTTAACACAGGAGTTCTAGTGAATCTGACCTTAAGAATTCAAATTTTTAGGCATAATAGTTAACCAGCTTTCAGTATTTAGAGAGATTGTGCTCCTCAGAAAATGTTATCAGAAAAAAAAAGGAACATGGTTACGGAAGAGCAACATGTTTAGGGACATTAATAGTGGGGATTAAAACACTGCCGTGAGATGATGCATAAGCCTTTTTAAGATGACATGTTGTCAGGGAAAACTCTTTATGCAGAGGCAATGATGTAACTGCCTCCTGAAATTTCTGGGTTATCTCCCAACTTGAGAAAAGGAAGAGCATCCCCATAAACTTCAGAGTGACCTTAGAACCCCAAACAGGGAACCTTTGTACATCTGAATGCACAAGATTCAAGAATTTTTTTTCAGATACAGCCAACAAGGTCACTGACTCTTGAAGATCACAGGAAAGTTTTAAGAAAGAACTAGAACAGAGTAGTACTATGTGGTGGTAAGGAAACATACCTAGATGGCTTGGTTTAGAAGAAAGCATGGGGAAGTGGAAAGATTTAGGACCCTGAAACACTTGTACTTTAATCCCAACTTTGTATCTGTGTGACTGTCATTAAGCCACTTAATTTCACTGAGGAAGATTTTTCACCTAAGTAAAATTTTCCACCTGCAATGTTATGCTTTGTCAAGTTTATTGTGAGGATTTAAGAAGGTGATTTAATATGCAGACACTTGATAAAACGTTATATTCCTTTGTTCTACGAAGGGGTAAACAGGCAAGGAAAAGGAAAGGCTGTCCAAAGAGAAGACCCTACAAATGTTCCACTCTAGACCCATCTGTTAGAAACTTGTAAGAAACCCCCTTTCAAGTAGAATTACAGGCTTAAGGGAACAACTTTGCATCTGATTTGAACTGGCAGAAGAATCAGCAACCTGGGAACTAGTGAACTGAGATAATCCAGTCTGAAGAGAAAAACTGTCTCAGGCACCTGTAGGACACCAGCAAGCATACAAACATATACCTGGATGGGAGTCAAAAAGGACAGGAGGGAGAAAAATGTGGAAGAAACACAAAATCTAAACAAACCAATTACCAGCAAAGAAATTGAAGCGGTAATCAAAAAACTACCAAAGAACAAAACCCCCGGGCAGATGGATTTACCTCAGAATTTTATCAGACATACAGAGAATATATAATTCCCATTCTCCTTAAAGTTTTCCAAAAAAATAGAAGAGGAGGGAATACTCCCAAACTCATTCTATGAAATGGCCAAAAGTTACCCAATCAAAAACATTATACAGTCAGGAAGTTTAGCAAACTCCAAGCAGGATAAAAAGAGGTCAGTACTTAAACACATCAGTGTTAAACTCAAAAGCTGAAGACAGTCTTGAAAGTAGCATGAAAAAAGTGACCCATACAAAGGATGTTGAGTAATAGTAGCTTAGTAGCTTGTGTATCATCACAAACCATAGTCTGGATGGCAGAGGCAACATACTCAAAATGCAAAACTCCTTTTAAAAATGAAGAAACGGAGATTTGGAGATTTGAATTAAACATGGTGGCGTGGGAGGAGACACAGAGGCTTCCTCCTAAAACTGGATACAATTAGAAAATTTAATTGGCGCAACTAATCCTGAGAGAGCAACAGGAAAGAGGATTGAGTCAGACTGCACACACCTGGAGAAAAGAGCAGACTTCACCAAATGGGGTAACATACCAGAGCTGTGGCTCTGCAGGACCCGAGTCCATCCCCCACCCCAGCTCACCAGCGGGAGGAAGAGAAATGGAGCAGGGAGGGAGTGGAAGGCTTGGGACTGCTGAATAACTAGCTCCGGAGATCGGCTATGGGAGCACAAACCTACATTTCATGGTGCTTTCATGAGACTCACATGACTACCGGGTTAGGAAGTTAATACAGGCAGAGTTCCCGGGGAGACTGGGATTCCGGCTGCTTGTGGAAAGCAGGGATCCATATCCGACTGCTCTGGGACAAATACTTATACCTGTGTGACCGGCCCACTTGCTCAGGCAGTGGAGACAGGCACAGCAGCCAGGAGGTGGGGAACAGCTCTTTCCTCCCCCAAGGCACCAGTACCACTCCCCTGCGACCCCCGACATTGCTTCAGGGGCTGAGCAGCTCCAGAGACTACAGCTTCTGGACACTAGAGGGCACCATATACAAACATGAAACGCCAAAGAAACCTTGTCCCAAGTAAAATTAATATAACTCCCGAGAAAGATTTAAATGATACGAACCTCGTGACTCTTCCTGAAAGGGAGTTCAAAATAAAAATCATCAACATTGTAATGGAGGTACGGAAAGACATCCAAGAACTCAGGAATGAATTCAGGTCAGAGATCCAATCATTGAAGAGCACGATGGAGGGTATTAAAAGCAGATTGGATACAGTGGAGGAGACAATAAATGAAATAGAAACTAGAGAAGAGGAATTCAAAGAAGCTGAGGCAAAGAGAGAGAAAAGAATCTCTAAGAATGAAAGAATATTGAGAGAACTGTGTGACCAATCCAAGCAGAACAATATAGGGATACCAGAAGAAGAAGAGAGAGAGAAAGGGATAGAAAGTATCTTTAAGGAGGTAGTTGCTAAAAACTTCCCCAGTCTGGGGAAGGACATAGTCTCTCAGGCCATGGAGATCCACAGATCTCCCAACACAAGGGAGACAAAACCAAGACACATAGCAATTAAAATGGGAAAGATCAAGGATAAGGACAGACTGCTAAAAGCAGCCAGAGAGAGAAATAAGATCACATACAAAGAAAAGCCCATCAGGCTAACATCAGACTTCTCAGCAGAAACCTTA